AACCCTAAACCCTAAACCCTAAACCCTAAACCCTAAACCCTAAACCCTAAACCCTAAACCCTAAACCCTAAACCCTAAACCCCAATCCCTGAATCCTAACATCGAGGCGCCGACCTCCTGCTGGGACTGCTCGCTCCGCTGGATGCGGTGCGCAAGGTCACCCAGCTGTTCCTACAGCTTGGGGGTTTGGGGGTTAGGGTTTAGGGTTTGGAGTTTAGGATGTTGAATCCGTTACAAGTAAGCTTTAAGCTTTAGGGTTCGAGGTTTCGGGTTTGGAGTTCAGGGTTTAGGGGTTTAGGGGTTTAGGGGTTTAGGGGTTTAGGGGTTTAGGGGTTTAGGGGTTTAGGGGTTTAGGGGTTTAGGCGTTTAGGGGCTTAGGGGCTTAGGGGCTTAGGGGTTTAGGGGTTTAGGGCTCAGGGAGAGTTAGATATGACACATTGAAACCCTTGCAAGATGGGTTGATGTGCGGGACATAGAGCCTCGAGCGTGCAAGACCCCTGAAGTCTAAGAAAACGGCGAGCTGCTTCATCCTATACAAGCCCTCTGACGTTAAGCCTCAACTGCCCGCCCATTTGCCAGAATCCCTAAACCCTAAACCCTAAACCCTAAACCCTAAACCCTAAACCCTAAACCCTAAACCCTCACGGCTCGTTGAAGGGCTCGGGGTGCAGGGTTGTTTAGGGTTTAGGGCACCCACACAAGTGCATGTAAATCGCAGTTCCGTGAAGCTCGACTCCTCACGTTCATGTATTCAATTCATTTCGCGCCATTCACCCTTTCATTCCTTGTAAGTTAAGTTCATGCACTTGCTCTGATTAGAAACGAAATGAATAATTGAGTGAGTTTATGAGTGAATACTTGACCGAAAATACAAAACCATGTAGTGAGTGAGCAGACATGGAGGTGCCATGAGAATCCGTTTATAGGAGCTCTTGGGATTCAAGAACCTTGGCAAACCGCAAACCAAGGGCTAACCGATGACCCGCAAGCCCACCTCCTTCGACCCCAAGCAGCCGAAACTCTCAACCCTCATCCTTAAACGCGGCTAGACTCCCCAAACCCTACTTGAAGGTTCATGGGTAGCTTTAAGTAGGGTTATAAGTATGGAAACTATACTTCTAGCCCTATTTATAGGTATGGTTACTATACCTATAGCCGTATTTAGGGTACTTGTAACTCTACTTATAACTACCCATGAACCTCCAAGTATATGTCTCACATAAGGAGCCCTGAACCCTAATTCGAGGCGCCACTCATCAAGCCCGAAGCCCTCAACCTTAAAATCCGATAAGTGTTGTGCAAAATCCTACTCACTCGGTTTGATAGGCACATGGCCCCAGGGTTCAGGGTTTAGGGTTTAGGGCTTAATTAGGGTTCAGGGTTTAGAAACGGAGGCAGCTGCGTCCTGCATGACCTGCACGTCAAGCTGGCATTGCTCCGCGCGACCGTGCCAAGAATCCTGCTCAGCCAAGATCGTACATTCAAAACTACTGTACACTAAACCCTAAACCCTAAATCCTAAACCCTAAACCTCCACTATTCCCTCAGGGCGCGCCTCCAGGCCCTTGATGCGCCGGATCTCCTTCGCAAGCTCGCCTGGGCTAGAAATCAGGGGTTTAGGGTTTAGGGTTTAGGGTTTAGGGTTTTGGGTCTAGGGTGGATACGATGAATAGGTTTAGGGTTTGGGGTTTAGGGTTTGGGGTTTAGGGTTTGGGGTTTAGGGTTTGGGGTTTAGGGTTTGGGGTTTAGGGTTTAGGGTCCGAGAATTCGGGGTACCTTGAGAAGTGCTGTAGGCTTTGGGGTCCATGAGGGGTCATTGCTTCTTTCTAGATTAGGGAATGCCCATGTGGCTCAGGTTTCTTCTGGGGTTTCGTTTTGCTCGCTTGGGCATTTGTCGGCTCTTACACCTATCTGTGACCAAACTCACAGAGTTTCGGGTCGAATTCTTGAGCTAGAGTATCACACCTCACTTCCAGGGACTGACATCCAGGCACTGGACTGCTGGCTTCTTAACTTGGCTGCACTCAGGAGGGTAGCTATAAATTAAACCTTAAGCTGCCTTAATAAGAAACCCAAGAAACCCAAAAAAGGTAAGGATCTAAAGTTACAGCAAAGTACCACAAAGTTAAGGGGCACTGGCAGATTGAGGGTCCACCGAAACCCTCAACCCTCCTTACGTGGAGGTCTAGCATACTGGAGCCTTTTGCTCAGACGAGCCGTGCAACAAACATTCGACCCCTCCATTCCGTACACTCCATCAGCCGGGCTTAGGGGTTGCTTCTACAAGCCGAGTTTAGCGGTTGCTTCTACAAGGTTCCAGATTTCAACCGAAGTGCAGGATTCTCCGGCAAAGGCCGTTTAGCCCAAACCATGCACCACACATCCTGAACCCTCTCAAAACCATATGACTTTATGAGTATACGTAAACACACACACACACATGCATATTCTTGATAAACCCTATGGACCCTCAACTCGACCCTAAACCCTAAACCCAAAACCCAAAACCCTCAACCCTGTACCCAAAACCCCAAACCCCAAACCCTGCCCTATAAACCAAAACCCTAAACCCAAATGGCCCTCCTGGAGTTCCTCTCGCTGGGGCCCCCCGGCCCGCAGCGCGCTTGGCGAGCTCGCGCTCGTGTTGCAAACGCTCGAGCGCCACCTGGTCAGCTCTGCAACGCCTATGAGTTTAGGGTTCAGAGTTTAGGGTTTAGGGTTTATAGGGTTTGGAGTTCAGGGTGCAGGGTTGACACGGACGCGGAGTTTAGGAGTTTAGGAAGTTTAGGAAGTTGAGGGTTTCGGGTTCGCCCCTAAGGCTCCCTTTTGAGGGGTTTAGGGGTGGGTTTAGGATTTGGGGTTTAGGGGCAATATCGTTACAGGGTCAAGGGGGGGAAGGGTAACCGGGGGTTGTAATTAGGGTTTAGGGTCCCTCCTTGGGGTTTAGGGTTGGTTTACGATTTAGGGTACCTGGGCTGGCATCCAAAATATCACGGGCCGTATGATAACGGGCACCGCGTAACGGAACCTGGGTTTGACAAAATTCGACACCTCATGTTGGGACGCCAACCTCTATACTCATGTGCTGCGTAACATCCACAGACAGTGAGGAGCATGGCAAGTGTGGGCGTTCATCCTCGAGTACCCTCAACCCTAAACCTACTAAACCGTACACCCTAAACCCTAAACCCTGAACCCCAAACCCGAAACCCGAATACCCTGGTACAAGAAGACAAAGGTGAGACACAGAATGCAGGGGAGGCTTTTTCATGATAGAGTGGGCGCCTCGTGCTCTCGCGTCTGGAGGCAGACGTGCTCGTGCAGACGTGCCTGGGAGGGTTTTGGGCTGTGGGGCTCAAGTACTTAAACCCTAAACCCTAAACCCTAAAAGCCTAAACCCTCAACCCAGATCCCATACATACGTCTCTGCTGTTTTTAGCCCTCCTGGGAAACCTCTTTCACAATCGAAAGCTCTACGTCCCTTGTAAACCGAACCTGCGTGGCAAAACGTCTGAGGACCACCAGCCGGCAATGAATACAGTAGACCCTAAACCCCTAACCCTAAACCCTAAACCCCAAACCCTAAACCCTAAACCCTAAACCCTAAACCTCCAGGGCCATGACAATGTCGGTCCTCTCAAGGTCGATGGCGTGCAACTGCTGGGCTGAAGCTTCCTGAGCACAGAAGACGAAGACGAAGGGCTTGTAGGCTCTTGCATGCCGCAGTCAACTTCGGAAGCCTAAACCCTAAACCCGAAACCCTAAACCCTAAACCCTAAACCCTAAACCCTAAACCCTAAACCCAGGCCAGGGCTTCCTCGGCCCCCGCTGGGCTCCGCACTTGCTCCTCGAGATGCCGCCTGGCATCCACGGAGCGGGCCGCGACCTCTTTTTGCTAACAAGGTGGAATAGGGTTTAGGGTTTAGGGTTTAGGGTTTAGAGTTCAGAGTTCAGGGTTTAGGGTAAAACAGGGTCGGGGTTTCCGGTTTAGGGCTTAGGGCTTGGGGTTCGGGGTTGGGGGTTTGGGGTTTGGGGTGTAGGGTGTAGGGTTTTGGGTGTCGGGTCAAGGGTTTAAATTTTGGGCTTCCCTCCCACTGTTAGACGCCTCTTACAGCAAAGCTTGGGGTCCATAGGCTTTGAGTTTTGTGTTTGGGGTCTGAGGTGCTGACAAAGGGATCCCCGAATCGGATGCCAGTGCGGAATCCCCCCCCCCCCAACCAAGGTGTCTGTTCATGTCCAGGCCCGAACTACGACTTGATTAAGAACCCACCAAAATCTACAAACAAGTCCTTATAAGGGTACTATAGGGGTTCTTATCTTGTTGATGTTTTGGGGGGACTCTTAAGCAAATTGTAGTGAAGGTTCATGGTTCACAGCTGGGGACTTCGGCCCCTTTCCGCATATTCGACGAAGTGCGCCTACGCTACTTACTGAGCGCAAGGTCGTTAAGCCTCTGAAAGGCCTAGGGCTTAGGGTTCGCTACTTCCAACGAACTTAGTATCAACCCACATGCTCCAAACCCTAGTGTCGTGTCTCGCGGCCCGGTATAGAAGTGTCTGCAGCCACAGCAACTCGAGGTTTAGGGCTTCATGTGCTAGACGCCGGCTTGCAAGCATAACGCAGCGCAGCCACAGGCACATTTGCTACGAGCAAAAGAGTCAAAAGGGGAGGCACCAGCAAACCATCAAGACACTTGAGCAACTTGGTAGTCCAAGAACCATATTACAATCAGGGTACCATTTTTTCGCTGGTTACTTTATAAGGGAAACTTGAACCCCCCCAAAAAGGGAAAAGGGTATCACCGGGCTACCAAGGCAGAGCGAGCGCTTCCTTTTCTTACTGTTGGTAAGCAGGGAATGAGGGAATTAGGGAATGAGGGAATTAGGGCCCCTATATATATATATATGTACATGTATATGTATATATATATATATATATACCCTTTACGGACTTTTTGGGGCCTTAATTCCCTCATTCTCTGCTAACCAACAGTAAGTTTTTCAACCACCGCCGTCGAACAGCTCGTCCAAGTCCTCGGGTGACACGGCCTTCGACGCCTCGAGTAGACAGCCTTGGGAGACAGGGGTTTAGGGTTTAGGGTTTAGGGTTTAGGGTTTCGGGTTTAGGGTAGTCTGGTTTCGTGCTTGGGGTTAGTAGTCTTTTTTTTTTCAAGGAGTGCCTACAGGAGTTATGCTTGTTATGGGGTTTATAGGGTTTAGCGAGTTTAAGGCTTCAGCGACTGTTCTGGGGACTTCAGGGTTCAGATCATTTCGGAGCGCGCAAGCAAGGCGCTGGACAAGTCCTCTCCAATACGAACCCGCACTGAAACTCGAGACATTGACAAGTTGCAACTCCACCGCAGGACTAGGATCAAGGTCCCCATCCCTTTAACATGCCTTGAGGCATCCTCTTCAGCAAAGAGGCGAAGTATCTCTTCGTCCTGAAAATGTGGCTTGTGACCAGGGCAAACATGCTTTGATGCTGCACCTTAGTTAAGCCCTAAATCCTAAACACCCTCAACCCAAAACCTCTCGTGAGGATTTAAGGTTTAGGGTTTGGGCTTTTTGAATTTCGGGGTTCAGGGATGACGAGGCATTCGACTGCCCGCACGACGTGCCAGCTAGCATGTACAACACGTCCTGGCTGCAGAGTGCACTAGGCAATTGTCCTGTATAAACCCTAATTAAGACCTAACACATGGACCCCAAACCCTAAACCCTAAACCCTCAACCCTAGACCCTAAACCCCAAACCCCAAACCCTAAACCCTAAACTATACCCTAAACGCTCCCTGGGCTCACACGGCTCCTGCCCCCGCGCAGCCAGCGAAAGCGCCGTGGCCCCATTGGCCGCCGGTTGCTGGACGCGAGCACCCGCCGACAGAAGCTGCCTCAAGCTGAAGGCTCTTGGGTTTAGGGTTTGGGGTTTGGGGTTTAGGGTTTGGGGTTTAGGGTGAAGGGTTTGGGGTTTAGGCTTAGGGCTAAAAGGGATTGGGGTTTAGGGCTTGGGGTTTAGGGTTTAGGGTTTGGGGTTTAGGGGTGTGCAGTTCTAGCTTGGATGGAGCTTTAGGGTTTACAGGGTTTCGAGGCTTAGGATTTGAGCATTGGGGTTGAAGGCTAGCAGGGTTTCAGGGCTTCAGGGCTTCTAGGGCTTCAAGGTGCAGGCCGCCAAGGCTTTGGGGTTGGAATAAGGGCCTACTCTGGGTCCTCGTTCCTTGGTCTGAAGGGTTTAGGGTTTAGGGTTTAGGGTTTAGGGTTTAGGGTTTAGGGTTTAGGGTTTAGGGTTTAGGGTTTAGGGTTTAGGGTTTAGGGTTTAAGGTGAAGCTCAAGGCTGGGGGGCATTTGAGGTTTCGGCTCGGGTTTGGGATCCAGTGGGCCCACATACCCCTAATTGAGCAACATAAGCCCTAAACCCTAAACCCTGAAGGGTCTTAATTAGGGAGCAGAAAGGAAATCGCCTCATGACTCCGCAGCCGGTTCAAGGCCAAGCTGCTCCACCACCCCCCGATGCCCCTCCTGCACAGCCAACATCCTCAGTGTACCATCCTACTCTGGGGGGTTTGGGGTTTGGGGTTTGGGGTTTAGGGTTTAGGGCTTAGGGCTTAGGGCTTGGGGTTTAGGGTTTAGGGTTTGGGGATTTCCGGGGGACCTGATTGGGGTCCTTATTCTAAGGGGCTACTGTTTGATACCCTATTTTCGTAAGCCCCCATATTGAGGCTTTAAGGTTTCAGGGTTTTGGGGGCTACGGGGGTTTGCAGGGTTTTAGATTTGCTGCACTTTCGGGCGGTTTCTTGGTGCCGTGAGCTCTCCCAGCGTGTTGTCTTCAGTTGAAAGTTCTGGGCTCTGGTACTGGCAACGGTGGCGGCATTTGAGCTTCAAGCATTAAGCCACGTAAACCATGAGAACTATCCACGCCGTTCTCTAAACCCCGAACCTTGAATCCATCCGGGTTTAGGGCTTGGGAAAGTTTAGGGCTAAAAGGTAACTACTCCTAAACGGTTTAGGGTTTAGGGAAGTTTCGGGCTAGGAGGTAACCACTCCTGAACCTCCTCGACCCCGAACCCTTAGTTCCTCGAACCTAAACCCCAAACCACCCCAGCTGAAACCCTAGATTAGGCATACTTAGAAACCCTAAACTCTCAACCCTAAACCCTAAATATGAACTCTCAACCCTAAATATCCTAAACCCTACACCCTCAACCCTTAACCTACAAGAGCCAGGTATCAAGGCGGTACCGCCATCGTCACGGGCTTGGTTCACAGCAGCGCCTGCTGCCTTAGTCTCGTGGGAATGGGAAGGAGTTTAGGGCTTAGGGCATAGGTTTTCTGGCCCTAAACCCTAAACCCTAAACCCTAAACCCTAAACCCTAAACCCTAAACCCTAAACCCTAGGGTTTAGGGCTTAGGGTTGGAAAGGAGTTCAAGGGTCTGGCAAGGTTTGTGGATCTGGGGGATCAGGGGGTTTGGCTTCAAGTGGCAGGGGAGCTTAAGTGGCTTGAGGAAGGCCTCGGTGAAAGACCTGCTCTACTGGTACGGGAATTTACCTCTGGTATCTCCCAAAACCTGCTCTACGGGCCGTCTTGGTACAGATTCTCCAAACGCCGCATCCTAGAGCAAAGGCTTCTAAAGAGAGGTCTCGAACTGCTTCGGCTAGAAGCTCCTGTCTTCACGCGCTGCGAGGCTATGGCAAAAACTCCAACCACAACCTTGCAGCAATGCATATACCATACAACCATACAACCTACACTTGCAACATTGTAGGGCTCAGGGTTTGGAATTCTTTAGGGCCTAAGGGGTTTTTGGGTTAGAGGGTTTAGCCCTAAACCCTAAGCCCTAAACCCTAAGCCCCAAAACCCTAAACCCCAAACCTTAAACCCTAAACCCTAAACCCTAAACCCTTGCTGAGCAAGCAGCCAGTAGCTCGGCGACCGTGCTCTCATGCCCGGCCTACCGCTCAGGTTCACACCCACTCATCACCGAAAGGCAAGGCTTCCAATGCACAACAAGCGGGGTTTAACGTTGGAATAGGGCTTATCACGGTTTATGGGGTTTCTGGTTTAGGGCTTTATGGGTTTATGGGGTTTATGCGGGGCTATGGGGTTTATGGGGTTATGGGGTTTATGGGTATTTATAGGGTTTTATAGGGTTTATAGGGTTTATAGGGCTTATAGGGTTCATAGGTTGGAATGTACCCCCTTCTACGAACAGTCCTTAATAGGGAGCATAATAGGTACTTCTGTCCATATTGAGGACTGCTAGTATTCATGTTTACTGTAGGGCATTCACATGTGTACAATTGTATAAGGAACATATATGGATGCCATATGGCTCACAAAACAAGGTTGCCAAACAGAGAACATACCTGGGGGGGGGGGGGGGGGGGTGGCGGGTCCGAAAATCGGCGTACCTGGTCGGGAGTCCCTATCATCAGGACGATCGAATTTGGGGGACATATTCGGGGCACCCCCCGGTTGTAGGCAATACCCGCATCAGCATCCGTGCATGTTCATCTCAGGTGTCTACCAGGTTCCCCTACCCTACCCTGTGGGGTTTATAGCAAAGCCAGGAATGAAAGGCCACTGGGTCCTAATGTGCTGTATACCTGAAAGCTTCCAGCACCAAGATTCCTCTCAAAGCCATCACGTTTCTAGACCATGCCTCTCGAGCTCGGCCATAAAAAGGGAAGCTACCAACAAAGGCTCCTGTCCCTTCTAAGGGGTATGTGGGCTGCTGCTCTAGGTGCGACCTAGCCACAGCCATTGAAGGCTGTAAACCCTACAAACTCTATAAACCCTGTAACCCAACAAACAGAACCACAAAAACCCCACCTAAACCCCATTATTCCAAAAAAATGCACCCGAATTAGTCATCCCAAAAAACCATGAAACCCCAGAAAACCCGAACCCTGAACCCTAAACCCTAAACCCTGAACCCTAAACCCCAAACCCTAAACCCTAAACCCAAAAAAAAAAACGAAAGCCTGCGCTGCGACCACCAGGGCGCTGGAGCCCTGGCGCGCCAGGTCCAGGGAGGCCCCGGCGCCCAGCAACACGCGCACCAAGGCCTGGGTATATAGGGTTTAGGGTTTAGGGTTTGGGGGTTTAGGGTTTAGGGTTTAGGGGTTTAGGGTTTAGGGTTTAGGGGTTGGGGGTTGGGGGTTTAGGGGGTAGGGTTTACAGGGTTTACAGGGCGTCTAGGGTTTGTATGGCTTGTAGGGTTTAAAGGAGTCTGTAGGGTATAGTGTGCTTATAGGGTTTAGCAAGGTTTATGGGGCGTAGGGCTCGAGGGTTCAGGGGTGAGGGATGGAGGTTCTTATAGCTGGAGCCGTAGGGCTTAAGGGATTACCCATGAAACTCCAAGTAGGCTTTAGACAGAGCTTTAGGGGGTTTAGGTCAAAATGGGTTTGATGCAGGCTTGGGGCTTTAGGGATTTAGGGCTTAGTGGGATCATGTTAGGGCTTTGAAAGCCGGATGTCTGGTTTAGGTAGGGTTTTTGCGGCTTGACCTATGGGGTGGCACTAGCCCCAAAACCCTAAACTCCTAAAGAAAAAGCGCTTGGGACAGCTCGGTGCTCCAAAGCAGAATTTGCTGCAGCTCCCCGCAGAGCCCTTAATCCCCCTTAATTGGGGAACAAATCATAAAACATGTCAGGGACCCTTATGATTCAAGGTATATTCCTGATTTAAGGAGTTTCGGGCTCTTGGGGTCTAGCAAGAGAATTCACAAAGTGCGTATTGAGGCAAGCTTCGTCGTGGCCTTCTTGGGCAGCCAAGATCAGAGCAGTAGAGCCATCGCGGTCCTTTTTGTCCACCTGGCGAGAAAACCATTTACATGCTCACAAGTTCCTTGAAAGCAGCTGGCACGGGTATGCGGCACCTTCGACTTACATGCCAACAGCAATGCTGCTTAACACCTGACAGCGCTTTAGAGCCAAAGATGATCTAAACATGCACGCCTGCCAACGCATTGCAAACCCGTGAAACCTTACTTGGATGATGCATAAGGTTTTAAGTATACATACCATACTTTTTACCCTGCTTCTAACTACCCATGAACCTTCAAGTGGCCTTCGACAACTACTATTTGCTTAAGAACCCCCCCAAAATAAGGCATCTTATCCCTTTTCAGGGCAATATAGGGATTATTGTTTTAATTTTGTTTGTGGTTCTTAAGCAAATAGTAGGGTGGCCCCACCTCCGCGCCCGCTTCCAGCAAGGCCGAGGCAGTTTCCACATCGCCTGCAGCTGCACTTCCAACTTTCGCAGTCTTCCAGCTCCGAGTTCTTTACGCGGAGTGGGCCCATGGGACTCTTAGTAGGGAAGGAGGGAATGAGGGCCCTGTATATACCCTTTAAGGGATTCCACAGGGCCCTCATTCCCTCATTCCCCACCAAGAACCAGGGGGACAAGGGGCAGCTTCCCACCCGAGGCCGTCCCCTCTAACGACCCCAACGCTACGAAGAATCTCAGGTCCATTCTGCAACTGCCTGACTACGGAGGACCCCCTAAACCCTCAACCCTAAACCCTCAACCCTAAACCCTCAACCCTAAACCCTAAACCCTCAACCCTAAACCCTAAACCCTCAACCCTACACTCTAAACCCTCCCTAAACCCTAAACCCTGTTCAGAGAACTGAGGGAGCTGCCGAGTTGAGCTGCGAGCATGAGAGAGGAGGCGCCATTCACGAGCACCTTGCCAGGCTCAGGACCTCTAGGACCCTCATATGGGGGCCTCAACAAATAGAATAGGGTTTTTTTTTGGGGGGGTAGTTAAAGTGTATAGTTACAGGGACCATAAGAGAATGTTACTAGCAATTTTTCCGACCCCTAAATTTTGCAAGAGCTTTGCTTGGCTTGTAACAAAGCAACTTTAGATCGTCTACGGCAACAGTACCCAAAGATGATCTCGGAGGCGGCAGCAGCCGTACGGATACATGTGCTGTTCCGGGACACCACGAGACTAAGCCCAACACTTCATTGCGGCACAGAGTTTGCCCTACACCCTAAACCGTTAACCCTAAACCCTAAACCCTAAACCCTGAACCCTGAACCCTAAACCGTTAACCCTAAACCCTAAACCCTAAACCCCAAAGCCCAAAGCCCAAAGCCCAAAGCCCAAAGCCCAAAGCCCAAAGCCCAAACCCTAAACCTTACCACTTACCACTGTGCACCAGCATCTTCCTTGGCATCGGTTTCGACAACAGGCTTGGTTGACGGTCGAGGTGCGTGATCTGCCGCCGCTCCAGCCTTGAGCAGGCACCGGGCCACCTGTCTCGAGGCTGAAGTTGGGTTAAGGGTTTAGGGTTTAGGGTTTAGGGTTTAGGGTTTAGGGTTTAGGGTCAGGACTTCCATTAAGTGATAGAACGGCGGTCTTGAAACGTGGAGAATAAGAGGGGTTCGTTCGTTTCTTCGACAACATCAAGGCCAAGACGGGCCAAGAGATCGTGGTTTGGGTTTCAAGGCTGAAGGTTGCTACTGCTACTGCTCCATAGCCAAGATTACAAGATCAACGGTGACCCCAATGTGCAGCAGGCTGAAAGCACGACCCTCCGGACGAGCCCCTCGCCTCATGGTGTCCGTCCTCAGGGCGCGTGCTTCAGGTTGCTTCGATGCAGGGTAGATGCCTGCACATGTGCAACGCGAGCAGCACAAACACTACTCTGTATTCAATCTCTGCTTATGACCGAAGTCGGGGAACGAGCGCCACTTGAACTAACACGTCAACGCGGAGCAAAAATCAAACCACTGTGCTGTCCTGCACAGCAGCGAAAAGTGGCGTCGAGCCCATCGCACCAACCTGGCAAGGAGCGCTGGGGAGCTCTAAGGCCCAATCATTGACGCAGTGCAAGGTGATAAGCATGGTAGCTATACTTATAGCCCTATTTAGGGTACTTATAGCTTATACACCTACTGCTAACTACCCATGAACCTCCAGGTATAGTCGTAATGCGGGCAAGGCTCATGGTTCACGTCAGCTTTTGCCTGGGCGGTATGCAGGAGAAAAGGGGCAGATACACGTTTGCAGTGCACAGGCTTGCTTTGGAAGAAAGGCACTAAACCCTAAACCCTACCTCGCCTCCACCAGCAGCGTTGCGGCCTCCAGCTGACCGCCCTCGGCAGCCGCCACTAGCGCTGTGGCACCCGCCTATTGGATCTTCGAGGCTTTTGCTGGGATGGCCTTTGAAACCCCTCCTGAAAACAATTCCCAAATATGATGGTCTTGAACCCAATAAGAGGAAAAATATAAGATCCCGAGGGCCTACCTAGTCTAGTGTGTTGGGGGTTTAGGCTTATGGCTGAGGGGCTTGGGGGGTCTAAGGTGAAGGTTTGCAGTTTTGAGTGTTTACGTTTCGCGCGTAGAGGGCCTGAATGTTGAGTGCTGAAGGCCTTCAGGTTCAAGGCAAACTCCGGTCTAGGTTCCTCATCTGACTTGCCCAGCTTCGTCAGTTTAGGATGCCACCCCAAAAAGATTTGTAGGCCACTTGCTGGGTTTCTGCACCGGGCCTACTACAGTACAATCTAGTTCATGGTTGGGATAGTATTAAAATTTTAAATGTGTATTCCTTATTGGGTTTAAGTACCCTTAAAAATGTAAAATGTTACCCAACTATGACAAAGCAATGATGTACAATGGACGCTTAACACAAAACCAAGGCACCGCGTTTTCTGCCTCCAGATTGCAGCCTGCATCGACTAACCTCAGGAATCATGGATCGGCTATATTCCGATTCTTCGATTTGGACGATACTGTCGGGGTGCTGGAGAACTGCAAGAGGCTAGAGCATGAAAACTTTTGCAAGCCTGTCACCTAGGGGTCTGTCATTCCTGAAGGTTTCTGGTAACCGCGGCCTACATCCAAAACCAGGTGAGATGAATCCCATCTTGGGTGACAGCGAGGACATGCTTTCGTACTTCAAGTGCTGGCTGTGTAGCATGGACAAGATATCGACGTTGCCCAGATGTGAAGCGACCATTGCGGCAGTCACACCATTCCTCAGCTGCGAACGGCACAAGTTGCAAGGGGCAAAACCTGCTCCAACGGCTGCGATACGATTTTTCTGGTCCAACACTAACAGTCTGCAATCTGCAGCGCAGTGCTGCATCGCACACAAGCCGGCTTGCGTGCCTCAAAGTTGACTATGATACTGTTCCCCAGGATTTTTTCCTTCTATCAACAGGCTAAGTCGGTGTCGGTTTAGGGTTTAGGGTTTAGGGTTTAGGGTTTATGGTTTAGGGTTTAGGGTTTGGGGGTTTGGGGTTTGGGGTTTGGGGTTTGGGGTTTGGGGTTTGGGGGTTTGGGGTTTGGGGTTTGGGGTTTGGGGTTTGGGGTTTGGGGTTTGGGGTTTGGGGTTTGGGGTTTGGGGTTTGGGGTTTGGGGTTTGGGGTTTGGGGTTTGGGGTTTGGGGTTTGGGGTTGGGGTTTAGGGTAGCTACAACGCTTCCCCACAAGGTGTGCAACTCAATGCATTCTGGCAGCGAGTTGGCCAAGTTCACGGCTGCCTGCTGGATGAGCCACAACAATCGCAACCACCCGAAACCCTAAACCTTAAACCCTAAACCCTAAATCCTAAACCCTAAATCCCTTTGGCCCAAGATCCCTGCATGCAAAGCCCGCATGCCAGAACCCATCAGAGATGGCACGCATTCACTGGAATGCTCTTGACGCAGCCCTCATTTTGCTCATTTGCTCAAACCTCAGCAACTTGGAATCTATGTATGAGAGGACCGGTCTGCCCTGTGCAGTTCACTGCCAGGGCAGGCATGTCAGGGGGCCTCCTGCGGAAATACACGCTTGCCTGCCCCATATGCGATCATGAGCGGCAGCAGCATCAAGCAAGATGGAAGATCCAGTCAAAATTGCCCCCCCAGATTTCAGACTCACGTCTGCGGGATAGCAGGCCTAACATACCAGCAGGTAAAAACTGAAAGCCGATGGCTGAGGACAGTAGCATGCCATGAAGGCTTCTTGGTCCCCTGTGAAATCCCTAAACCCTAAACCCTAAACTAAAGGTGGCTTCAAACATCGATGACCCAATCTCCAGAGATCCCGTCAAAGCCTTCAGCATCAGATGCAGTGGGCTGTGTCTGACCCTCCAGCTTACTCTTGAAAACAGGGAATGAGGGAACTAGGGCCCTATATGTCTATATATATATATATACATATACATATATATATATATACACATACATACATACATAACTATATATATATATATATATATACCCTTTAAGGGCTTATGTAGGGTACCTCATTCCCCCATACCGGCTCAGCAACAGTAAGCCGGAGGGCCTCCGCTTGCAAGAGGGCCTCCACTAACCCCAGCTTGCCCTGGAGGCTGGCCGCCACGAGTGCCTCGGAGCTGGGCAGCTTCTTGGGGTTGATGGGTTAAGAGCTTAGGGCTTCGGGGTTTAGGGGGGTTTGGTAAGGTTTAGGGTTTAGGGTTTAGGGTTTAGGGTTTAGGGTTTAGGGTTTAGGGTTTAGGGTTTAGGGTTTAGGGTTTAGGGTTTAGGGTTTAGGGTTTAGGGTTTAGGGTTTAGGGTCTAAGGCTTCATGGGATTGTAAGATATTAAGTAGGCGCTCTACAGGACTTATATAAGTTCGGGTCCGAGGTTCTGGTTGCACTTCGAAGAGCAAAGGTGTGACATGAAAGGACACCGGACAGCTTCCCGCTGGATAAATGCGGGGCGGGTTTAGGGTTTAGGGTTTAGTGCTTAGGGTTTAGGGTTTAGGGTTTAGATGCGGATGCTGCGTTGAAATGAAGACAAGCAAGGCTCATGCAATCACGCGAAGCCCGTGGTCGTCCATGTCGGCTCAAGAGGTTTCCGGACACTAACCTCTTAGTTGTCCAGTAACCTGGGGGAACTAAAGATGAACCTTTGGGATTATAAGGGGATTCCAATACCCCAAAAAGGTTAAAGGCTACCTACTCTACTACTAAGACCTGTAGAAGCTAGGCATTCCTGTACCTGATTATACTTGGAGGTTCATGGGTAATTCTAAGTGAGGCTATAAGTACCCCAAATTGGGTTATAAGTACAGTTACTGTACTTATAGCCCTGCTTATAGGTACCCTTGAACCTCCAAGTAGGGCTCAAGTCATGAACGAGGTCTGCAAGTGCCCTGGCTTCGCTGAACTACGCTGTGCAACCGAACCTCTAACCCATTTCCAGCGTTTTAGGGTTTAGGGTTTAGGGTTTAGGGTTTAGGGGCACAAGTTGCTATTGCAATGGATAGAGAACGCACATGGAAAGCCCACTCGTGGCGAAACAAGCCAACCATCAGTCTGCCTTGATCCGGCCAAAGCCTGTCAAGGTGCCGTCTGGCCGTTCTCGTCAGGATCGTTGGGGTTTGCGCCTGGGCACTGTTGCGCAATAATTAGGATCTTAGACCTGACCCACATCCCATGCTGCGCGACAGAGCAGCTTCGCTGTGCTAATGTTACGGATGATTTGGTAGTGCCATGCGGAGTAACAGCGAAGCTTCTTGGAAGGTCGTTAGAATGTTCGAAAAGGTTCTGATTTTTTGGATATCTCTTTCCAACATATCTTGTTCAATGAAGGATTCAGGTGGGTGGGTGGGTGGGTGGTTTAGGGTTTAGGGTTTAGGGTTGAGGGTTGAGGGTTTAGGGTTTAGGGTTTAGGGTTTGGGGTTTGGGGTTTGGGGTTTGGGGTTTGGGGGGGTTTGGGGTTTAGGGTTTAGGGTTTAGGGTCCTGAACTGACTGGAGAAGGGCGACGATACCAGCTTTTGCCGGCATGGGGCCCGAGGCCAGGAGCTGCAGCGCAGTCTCCGCCTCAGTCCAAAGCACATGAGGGGTACGTGAATTCTAGTTCATGGTTGGGATAGTATGAAAATTTTAAATTTATATTCCTTATTGGGTTTAAGTACCCTTAAAATGTAAAATGTTACCCAACTATGACGAAGAATTGGGGTGTAGGGTTACTGTAGGGTTTCGGGATTAGGGGTTCGGGTTTAGGGTTCAGGGTTTAGGGTCTAGAGCTTAAAAACAAATCAGGGGCTGTACGTAAGCTAGGGTGTAGGGTTAGGGGTTCAGGGTTCAGTGCTTCAAACCCTGAAGTCCGTAATCCTACTTGAGGTTCATGGTACTTCCTAACCACTTATAACTGTACTTATAGCCCTACTTATAATACCCCTAAAGGGCCTTATAGGGGTTATGCCAATTATAAGTAGGGTTATAAGCCCAGGTATAAGTGGTTGTTAAGTCCCATGAACCTCCAAGTAGGGTTTAGGGTTTAGGGTCTAGAGCCCGTTTAGACATAGGGTTTAGGGTTTAGGTTCATGTACCGACTACGCATCCCATGTTGGGGTCCAGGGTGCACAGGTTCCTGATGTACCTAAGCCGTATGTAAAGCCCAAGTATACCCTACTAAGGTACATGGACACCATAGTGAACCCTAAACCCTAAACCCTAAACCCCAAACCCTAAACCCTAACCCCTAATCTAAACCCTAAGCCCCGGCCTCGCCAGCCACCACCGCCGCTACGAGTTGCGTGTCTGCGCGCTGCACCCGGAGGACCATCCTCTGTCAAGTCTTGGGCTGAATCGGGGTTTGGGATTCAGGCTTTAGGGTTTAGGGTTCAGGGCTTAGGGATTTTGGGGTTCATCATTGCGGGTTATTGGGCGTTTTGGGTTCAGGGTTCTGGGTTTAGTTGGGCTTTCTCTTGCTTTCTACGACACTGCGAACCCCACAAGCTGGCGTCTATGTAGAATTCCCGTGCGGTGTGCACAACGTGCTGCGCATGCGCTGCTTGCATCGGATTACGTGATCGAATCTCAAGACTCACAACAGCTGATTGCTCAGGCGGATTGCTCAAGCATCATACATTCCATGAACCCATGCTCCAGTACCAATATCAAGGAACATGCTGTTTTTTGGAACCCCCAAGCGTGTCCCTGATTCATATATAAATCACCCCCCCCCACATAATAACCCAAAGGTACCTGAATAGGTAGTTGCACCCATACCAGAATGCTGAAACGCAGCACTCCTCATACGGGGAGGGCCAGCGAGGTCACCGGGCCGGTGTAGCCCATGGACAAAAAGCCTGCGCAACAACGAGGAGCTTCCTTTGAAACAAAAAAGGCTTGCGTATACCATGGCCCTTCTGGTGTAGCTTGTGAAGTACATAAGAATCCTTCCCCAAGCCCTAAACCTTAAAGGCCCCAAACGATGAATAGGAGATAGCCGGGACATTCCACTGGGCCAGCCCGGCAACCGCTCCTCAGGCACTGCTATGTGTACAATTACTACATGGTGTGCCTCGAGAATGTTACCACCTCCAACGCCTCTCATGAGCTGGATGAGCCACCAGATGCAGACTGCCAAGAGTGGTGGGGTGTCAGTGTAGGGAGGGGGGGCGGGGGGTGCAGCAGTGTGCACTGACATCAGGAACATCACCAAAGGGTTCAGCAAAACTACTAGCAACAAACATTGACAACTGATTTTGTAATTGGGATATTTCTAACGATGTTTTTTGTGTGTTTTATGTTGATCTTATTTGTCTTCTCATCACTCTTCTGTCGGCAAGCAGCTGCGTAGGCCGCATCACGGTCCCACATGACACCACTCCGACCTCGCACTGCGTTTTTACTGTGCGAGGGGTCGTTGCTGGTGGGTTCTTTGCGTGTAAATTCTGCCTGCTTGATTCCATTTTACCTGTGGGTTTCGTAACATTTTATCTGTGGGTTTCGTGACACAAACGACCGAACAAACACTTGGCCCCGCATGTGGTCTGGGCAGAACGTGCTCGAGAGCCCCGCTTCCTGTCTTAATCAGCACCCAACCCCTCCAGAATAGCTTCAGTCAGGAAGATCCTTAGAACCGCAGTAAAATTCACGGGTTTACAGAATAAGGGACCTCTACTTATATAGACCCCCAAATAGGAGGAGTCCCCTTATAAGAAGGACCCAATGTGGTAGCCCTTTTTTCGGAGATCCCCATATGCAAACGGTCT